TTTTGATGGTAATAAGTAGTCCTGGTACTAAGAAGGGATAATGCTTTCCATAGCCCCCACATACTTAATATAAAGATTTTAAAGATTCAGTTGACGTTGACTTTATACCATATATATATAATATATATCGGTCAATATGTGAGTTATCTTAATAAAACTCAGAAAGCATATTTTCCTGGTAATTTGTAAAATCGGTCCACGAAGTACCCCAGGCAAAGACCAATCAAGAACATGCTTGATACTCTGATCTGATGTGAACCGTATTCCCGTTCTACATCGAATGGAACAAATGGTAGTCAGAGAGGGAAGGTCTGGCTATAAGATGCAAAAAGTTCGACATATCTGAGTGAAGAAAATGATTGCTGTTTACGTTTCAAACGAATGAAATATACTGAAAAAGACGCAGAAGCTTTCCAACGTATTTTCGGAATATTAACAATGGAATGATAATCAAGTTACGTCATCTCTTGGCAAAGGACACGAATAGTAGTTATAGACCTCATAATACCACAATATACCTTATGTAGTGATTTTAAAATGGTTAAATGGTTGACAATATGTTTGAGCTTATATGTATCACCCATATTTCAATTGATTAAATTTTGTTAAATTTGTTATAAAAATTTCGGACACAGAGGAAAAATTAAACTAAGTGTGTATGACCCATAATATAAGTAAGATACTAAATCTACAACTAGAGCCATTCAATTGGCTAACAATGTTTAATTATTACGCAACATTTTTATGGCACAAACAATCACCGCAGTCCCCACCGGTTCTACCGCCCGCTTCAACAGACCGTACGGTAGGATATCCGCGAAAATTGGATTTTTTCCATAGAAACGAGTGAGCTGAGAGTGAGAGATCAATCTCTTGCAACTTAAAATCACAGTCGAATACACTTATTTATAAATAGGTAAAATAATTAATAGTTGGATTTTAGTTTTGAGCTATTACATTATGAAAAATTATAACTAAAAAAGGAAATATGTGAAAAATCGTGTATACAAATTGAGCAATGGCAACATTGGTGAAATGAAAACAGAAGAGAACAAATGAGTTCTGCGTTGCAACTACGGGCATAACTTTTGACAAATTTGGTTTGAATTTGGGCGATAAGTACGGAAGGGAGGAATGTCGTGACTGTTTGTGTTATTATACTCTCGTAACATATTGCTACAGAATATAATAGTTTTGTTCACCTAACGGTTGTTTGTATCACCGAAAAATTATCGAGATAGATATAGAGTTCTATATGTATATGAGACAATATCTCTCAAGTGTACCTGCATTTTTTTTGATGGTCGAGTTTTTCTCGTACAATAAACGTAATTTGGTTCTAAACAATAAAAAAAATACAACTTTGACGATTTTTCGAAATTCGAAAAATGTTTAAAGTTATTGTTATTAATATTCTTTTGGACGATCTTGAAAAATATTTATTTTTTCTTAATAGACTATGAGTGAAATTGCCTCTTTCATTTGATATTACTATTTTTACAAAAACCATTGTTTGTAAAAAATACAAAAAATTTTACTAAATAAATTCAATTAAAATCAACTTCTCAATCGAATTAACCTTTTTTTTATGAACTTCCTCGAATAAATACAATCTCCCATAAGTGGACACTGAAGGGACCAGCCTTTCTGTCTAGTTAATAGAGGTGTCAGCTTAATATTGGGTCAAGTAAAAAGTTCGTTCGATATATATAATGTAGATTGTCCTTAATAAACATAAGAAAATACACATACATATAATTAATAGTAGGGGAAATTAAAATAATTTTGTTTATTTAGTAATGTTTTAAAAATGTATGCAGGTATATATGTACATATAAAAACATATTTAGATATTTGAAGATAACTTTGTAATTTTTGTTTGAATCTTTTTTAATGCTTGCTGCTTCAGAAGTTTAGATTGGAAAACTGAATCAATATTTTTCAGTTGCTCAAAGAACTGGTAGTTATTTCTTGAAAATTGTTGCAAGTTTTTTAATGCACAATAATCTTTAATTCTGATTGTATATAACTGCGTGGAATTATAATTGCAATTATAATGGATTAATTTTTGGAGGCCAAAACTCCTAGTTTAGCGTTAGTCTCAAAAATCTATATTGAAATTATCTATTTCATCTTTTGTCACTATTGCTGGGTGAATAAGGTTTTTGTTTTCTGCTGCTACATTGTTCTGTATGTTTTTAATCTTCGTTTCTAAATGTTTTAATTTATTCATCATATTGATGATACCTCATTTATAATTTCTTCATTTTTTTATTGTTTGCCATTATTAAATTCTTAAACTTTTATTTATTGCATTTTTTAGCAAAATTGTATTATCATTACAATTTTTATTTACGCTAATTTGTTGATTCACTGTTTTAACAATATTGTGATTATTCTTTTGTTGAACTAAATAGTTTAAAATTTCTTGTCTATCTTTATCGTCCATTAATCCAAATAACCTGTGGTAAGTGGTTCCTTTACACATTTAGTAGACCTTTTTTTGTATCTATTAGAATTTGAATTTTCTGGTCGAATCGTTCTAATTTTTGCCTCTAAATTTTCTATTTCGTTCAGAAGGAATTCTTTCTTTTTCATGTTAATGTTTTCTATGTCTCCTCTATAATAATTTAATATTCCTAAAATCTCTGTTGGTTGGATTATGTGCAGGATTGTATTGGTTTCGTTTAGTTTTTTTTCCTGTCCCATATGTACCATTGTGTATCCAGCAACATCAACTATAGGTGTTGAAGGTGCCCCGGTACAACCCCTGTCATCGACTTCTCCCAAGTTACCAGAATCGTTAATATGGTAAACCACATTGTCTGAAAACATTGTTGCCCCGGTACAACCTCTGTCATCGACTTCTCCCAAGTTACCAGAATCGTTAATATGGTAAACCACATTGTCTGAAAACATAGTTATACCTATATTATTATTGCTATTATTTATATTATGTTTAGTACTATCGCTCAGTAGTGCTCCTGTACTAAACTTATATTCTTCTATATCGTTTCTAGAATTTTGGATTCCAGCCAATGGTCTTTTTATATTTTTATAATGGACATTTTATAAATATTTAATTTTAACATAAGTTTCGGCTTTATGACGTACCCGTTTGTATTTTTTTATTGGACCTTCCTACTTGTTTCTAAATAGTCTTCCCTTTTTTTGTTCCTTTTGTCTATATTTTTTCTTTTGAACTTTTGTAATGTTTAGTTTCTCCAATTATAAGTTTCATTTATACCGTTGTGCATAGATTCATTATTATGACTTCCTCTACAAGTATTTTAGATGCTCCTTTCGTGCAATTATTTAAATTGCTTGTGCGTGCTTGAATTTTTAAATTGTGTTTTGATAGTGTTGAAAATATTTTTTCCAGTGATCTGACATTCTCTTCTTAAGATATTGAGAATACTAAAACATCATCAAACTACAAATTTTGTTAATCTATTCCCTAAGAATCTCATTCATCATTCTTTGCAAAGTAGCTGAGGAATTCTTTAGCTCAAAGGCATACGGACATATTCATACAATCCTGCCGGAATAACAAATGCAGTTTTTTCTATGTCTTTTTCTGTCATGAATATTTAGTGATATCCTTTGGCTAAGTCAATGGTGCTAAAGTACTGTGCTACAGTCAACAGTCAGTTGATTTGGTATCCTATACTACTATTTCAAGCATTTACAGGTTGGTTGAAAATTTTATGCTCTTACTAAGAAATAGCACTACTAGCTCCAATTTCTTTTTTCTCAAGTTGGTACATCTGTCGTGAGAACACATGCAAAGTTACAATTCATTCTGTTAATTAGTTCTTTGTTTACAAGCGAACTAAAAACCGCAACCACACCAGAAATCATTGAACAAAAAACTGGGGTTTGAAAAATTATGGTCCGATTTTGACACTGTTTAGACCTGAGATGGCATAACTTAAAGAAAATATTCGTGCAAATTTTTATCCCGATACATTAATTAGTGCTTGATTTGTATACTAGAAAGTGAAAGTCAATGGAATTTAAAGTTGTGTTATATGGGAAGTAGGCGTGGTTACAGACAGATTTCGCCATTTTCGCTCTGCAACATGAGAATATCAAAATAATCTTATCCTTTTATGTCATCTCGGATGTAAAATTTAATGTCTCAGACGCGTTTCGTTATTGATTTAGCGTTATTTTAGTAAGTTTCATTAATATCTCATTCAAGTTATCGCTTATCGCTTGCACAGACTGACAGACGGACGGACGGATGGACAGTCACTCGCTTTTCATCTCGTCTTATCATCCTGATCATTTATATTTATATATAGGTATAACCCTATATTTATCTGAATTAGTTTTAGGTGATACAAACATCTGTTAGGTGAACAAAACTATTATGCTGGGCCAAAACGAATACGTAGTCAGGGTCCCCAAAAACATATAATACCCCAGGTATGGTAAAAGGAGCCCCTCAACGGTTTTTTTTTGTGTACTTGTGTTATTGGTTTAACTCAACAAAATACATTTTAAATACCTACATGTAAATATTGGTAAACAGCGGGACTTACCCAGCGAAGTTGGTAGTTCATGAATGGTTTTTGGTATTAAGACAAATACTTACATAATTAAATCTACATACCTGATCTACAATTATACATATTATATGTATCAGATATTCTTAAGACCTGAGCAGACCTTTCAGAGTACATAGGTAGGTCCCACTGGTTTAGAAAGCGATAAACAAAAGGAATTTACGGAGGGATTTTCCGCGCACGTAATTTTAATAAAATAAAATAAATTTGCTTATTTCTAAGAAATATATATAACTAAACATTATATATTATTATGCCAATGTATACCTACGTCATATAAAAGTATACAAGTATGTTGTGCGTACAAAAATATACCAAGTTATGAAGCAACTTTATTCAAACAACTTTCTATATAATATTTACAATATATGCAATACATAATGATGTGAATGTAAAAAAGTGAAAGTCAAACAGTGTACTTTATAATAGGTACTATATACATATACTTGTATACTGCGTTTGAGACATCATAACACCTGACATCATGACACCTAAAAAATCTGTTAAGTAAAAACCATAAAAAGGATTCAATTAGCCTGAAAGCAGAGCAGTATCACCGTAGAACGGACCCACAAAATTGTTAACCGGATAATAATTATTTTAGATATTTCGGTAAGTCTAATTTTTTAATAAAGTTACTAATTAATAATACCTAGGTTAAGTAAAAGATCTATTGCACTAAGTCGTCTTTACATAGGAAATAATCAAGGACATAGGGGTCAGCGTAAAATCCCGAGGTGCGATCTGTTGAGTAAAGCGCAAAAACTGTTCAACATAGGACTAGGTCAGAAAATCCTTATATTAATCGCAATTTAGAAATAGTCAGCCACATAGATCTCGGAGCGAAGAACCTGATGTAGGGTCTGTTGAGCAAAGTGTAAATACTGTTCAACGTAGGACCAGGAGGAAATATTCATAGGAGCGTTCTGTTGAACAAATTATAAATACTATTCAACGTAGGACTAGGAACGAAAAACCAGAGGTACCGTCTGTTGAACAAGTAGTAAATACTGTTGAACAAGTAGTAAATACTGTTGAACATAGAACTAGGAGAGAAAAGGCCGAGATAAGGGTTGTTGAACAAGTTTAAAATACTACGATGTCCTTTGATAAGGCTCCTGAAAGCGTTTGGAATACAATCATGACTTAGTAAATTTCCCCCTGAATCGTGAGCAAAATCTACATATAAATGGGAACTGAATATCAGAATTAAATAACTAAAAAGAAGTTACGTGGTTGCATTTGCTAAGGACGCCATTTGGTTCAATTTTTTCATGCGGAACAGACTTTCCAGGCAATAGTATTCCTATAGCACCTGTACCTGCAGAGATAAGTCCGGGCGGCCAAGAGACCTGCAGCAAACTTTGACTACAAGCGTTTAGTTATAACGCCAGGTGAAGAGCAAAGACCAATTGACATTATTCAATTCATAAATTTCGAAGAGTTGTCATTTGAAACAATATACATTGTTCGTGCATGCTCTGAAACATATAGTAAGTTAATACTTTCTGAAGTTCGCCGCTTTGACAAGAGAACGTGTACTATTCCTTATTTTACAATTATAAAAAATTAAAATTGCTGGAAATTAAGAATAGTACATCAATTTGCCTTCGAAATCGTATCGAAGCCGTAATCGAGCTACGCCCAAAATCTATTAAACAAAAACTTTGTTCAAAACTTGATTCAACACGATAATGGTTACAAGGTTTTGAAAGCTAACGCCTTTCATCCCTGAAAACTGGGAAGCTGAGAAAAAGGCAATTGCAATGATTTGATAATTTGGACTTTCTACCTTCTTCATAACTCTATCCACTGCTGAATCTCAGTGAATTGAGCTTTTGGTCATTTTACCTAAACCTGTTGATTTTAAAGATATTTCGGAAGAGGAAGTCAACAATTTAACAAACCAAGAGAGGTATCACCTTATTCGATCTGATGCGGATACTTGTGCAAGATATTTTGACTTCCGCTATAGACAGAGCTTTAAGCTTCTTAATGAAAATGCCGGCATTTTTGGAGAGCATTAGGTTAAAAACTTTTACTGGAGAGTGGAGAACCTCCCATGTACAATGGTATATATTGGCTTAATAATGCTCCCAGGATCACAGTTTAAGATCCTCAGATCCTGATGTTATCAATTTCGTTGACAATTACATTTCTACAGATGGTTCGGCGAGCCACTTAGAAAATTATTTGGGTTAACATAAGCATAACCACAGTCGGTCTCGTACAATAGAGATAAGAGGACAACAATTTTGTCGTTTTTGTATACCGTATCCACCAATGCTTTCCACTCAAATATTGCTACCCCTTTCAAAAGCAATTCAAAATTTGGAAAGGCTTAAGGAAAATTTAAATAAATAAATGACTTATCTTATATATAGAATAAATCTTTACTGATACCAGAATAAATACGTATTTTTGACTATTTGCTAGCTCTGAGATCAAGCTTATCAAAACCCTACATTTTTCTAAAAAGAAATTTAAAGGATCGTTTCACAAATGCCTATAATCCTCTTATTTCAGAACTCCTATATACTTAATTATGAAAACAAGTCTACCAGAGGAATTTCTTGGCTATTAAATGAAACTATATCAGAAGTAAATGCTGGATATTATACCGTTAAGAAAAAACTTAAAAATATATGTAGGTCACAAATGTATATCAGGCACAGAAATATCTGCACAAGGATCAGTAAATTGCTGCATTGAGCTTCATACCCAACTAAAAATGGAGCGGAACTTCAGAACCTTCCTTCAGGTTTGACTGAAATATTCGTAGCTAGGATTTTAAACCGTTGTGTTCAGCGACACAATCAGTTACAAACTCTTTGCTGAGCTGATTTTGCATCATTGTATAATATTGCTTAATCCAGTAGAAGAGTACAAGACAGTGATCAAGAGAAAGAAAAGGGAGAAGATGATAATGTACCAGAAAGTAGGGTTGTTATGTCCTTCAGAGATGGTAGGGGATTTGTTAAAAAAAACGTACCAAACCTTGTACATATGATTCGGTAAAGAAGATTTAGCCCAGATGTGGCCGAAAGGGAGTATTTCCGCGAAATGGTAATGCTTTACTATCCATGGCTGAATGAACATCAAGGTCCCATTGAAAAAGATAACGAGCAGGCTTGCGCACCTACAGGTAACCAGAATTCGTAATAGGTGGACTGATACTTTACTCAATATTCTCTTTACCTGCTAACCAGTTAATAAAGTTGTGGCTACTTAGCAAAGACATTTTCATTGTATTTCAGGCTTATCGATTTCAAACTAATTATAACTGCTGAAATATCTATGGCAGGCGCTCGTATGTTTAGCTCTGTTGATGCCCAATTAAAACAAATATTTCAAACAGAGAGCCCCTCGGGTGGCAAACCAAATGGGTGGGTATTCTCTTATCCCAATGATGCTTACAGCACTTTAGTTGGTTCCCCTTTGTGGGAGTTATTTAAATACTTTGAATAAACAGAAATATTGAGGCAAATGGAGGTTCAGGCTTTGGTTATAGTTTCAAACCGTATGACAAACGATGATATACTTGTAACTCTAATATGACAAACGATAATATATCACTAATTGAAACTCGGGTAGGTAGTTCCGAAGAAGTTCCCGATGATGCTAAATCCAACCGAGGATATCGTTTCAACTGCTAAAGACTTAGTTAAGGGAATCTTTTGAAATATATAATTATAATGAAACATAAACACGTGTGATGGCTTGGTTAATAGGGCAACTAGACAACTTATGCAAATTGATTTCCATTGTTTTTTTTCAGCAATTCTGTGGATTAAATTCTTGGAACTTCCTCTTGGTTTAATAGCACGTTCAAAAACGCCTTATTCTCTAGAAAGCACCAATTGAAAAAGTTCTTAAATCGTTTCAATACAAAAGAACTGAACAGATTTTAATTGAAAGAAATGATTTTTAAGGTGTTGCGACTGAGGGAATAACTAGACAACAATAACAGACAACAAGTTTTAAATTTATGATTTCCCGAACTTCAGGACATCACTTGACATCATTGTAAAGAAAATTTGTTTAAAGTTTAAGAAGCATAGTCAACATTGTACATATAGGTATATATGCTTCAAGTACCGTTATTTTCATTATGACGCGCGCGTTTTTGCATAATGTAGTCTGGTGTGTTGTGTAAGCTTGCATCTATAATTTTCTACTGTAAGGTTGATGTTTGATTTGTATACTGTAAAAAGAAAGAATCAGAGGTAGTCATCCGATTTCGCCCATTTTTGCAGTGTCTAATAGGAATGTTTGGGTAACCTCACACACCAAATTTAGGTGTCGGTCAAGTAGTTGTTGAGATATAGGATTCCTTCTAAAGGTGGGGGGTGTCACTCCCATTGTCCAAATTTCACACAAGATCCTAAAAAACCTTCTCTCCGATCCTGGTTTTGAAATTTAATGCTTGTTTCTCATTTCTTCAGTGAGTTATATTAAACATAACCGTTGAATGGAGAGTGAGCGTGGTTATTATCTAATTTTATAGGTGATAAAGTAACTACTTTTCAGCAAGTTAAGTTGATATATCTTAAGCGGTTTAACCTGGAAATAATTTTGGTTGCGTAGTTCCTCCACTTTTTAAAATTTTTATGCCACAGGTGTCCCTGGCTACTGCGATTTCCTGTACCAAATTACAGTTTTGCTTTTTAATTTGGCTTAGTTATGGCACTTTAAACGTTTTCGTTTAATAGCGTTTTGTAAGCGTGGTAATGGTCCGATTCGACCTCCCTTGGGTGCCAAGGAATATGTGTACGAACGGATGGACAGACATTCACCCGGATTTCAACTCGTCTCGTCATCCAATTCATTTATACAATAGGAAATATTCTCGAAGAGCAAAACTTTAGTTCCCTACTTGGTGTAAAATATTCAACAACACTTGCGGGTATATCAAATGATTGGGCATTTTCAAACATAGGGCCTTCCCATGTTAATGAGACAGTACATACGTGGCTATTATGATAGTATTTGTGTTTCTATTTCGTTTTACTGCAACATTTCTTCCCCTTTTTCAAACATAATGTCATTTTTAAGAAAATAATAATATAATATGTAAATATTCTAATTAAAAAAATATAATTTATAAATATTATTTGTTATTATAAAACAATTTGTATAAATATAATATGGAAATTAAATGGTATAAGAAAAAATTAAATGTAATTTGGATACATGTTGTTAAAAATATATTGTATATACTAGTATGGATATACCTATGTGTAAGAATCTCCATAAAAACGTGTGTTAAAATTGTAAAGATAGCATATAAATTATATATAAATCAATTAGAAGTGTATACAACAAACATCAAGTACGATATCGCATAATTTGAGTAAAATTAGTACAAACTGCTCTAATTAAGTTCACTGTGAATGTATATAACTGAGGCAACACTTCCTGCTTCTAATTAAAATATATACGAAAATCTTACTTTGTAAGAGTATAAAATGTCCCGAACTTGCCCCTTCCTTACTTTTTTAATATATATTTTGTCAAGACCTATTTTCCCGCGGTTACACCTGCCCTTCCTTATTTGTTTCTAAATTTGTTCACCTGGATTTGAAATTATCCAAACATATTCAAGAATTGTGGTAGTATGAAGGCTAAAATGAAGTTTGCAGTACATTGTAATGCCAATTTTGAGCAATATGAATATATAGAAAATTCATCGATAGTGTAAGGACCCGTTGAACTGTTTTTCGGGAATGTGAGAAGCATTTCTATTGTATTTTTGCGATGCAAAGGCATTATTTTTAAAACCAAATACAACGTTCGTTCATATTAAACACCTTTTTTTAGTTGCAAAGTAAGATTTAAAAAGTTTTACATCATCAGAGTAAATAATTATCTTCTTAATTATCTTACAGCAACTACAATGCTTACGCTGCAGTTACACGATCAAGAACTTGCTTTCAAGTTGATCACACAAGCTACTTGTAAAAATTTATTTAATATTTAATTAATTTGCAATCGTGACGTAGGCTGCAAGTAACTTGATAATCAATAATAGTTTTACGATACCGTCGTCATAGAAACCACTTAAAATCCTTAAAAAATTTGCACGAAATCAATAATATAATGGAATGGGAAGAAAGACGAGTTGAGAAAGGCAATCTCATTCTACAAAAATAACTATATTCTAAATATTGTATAGGTATTCAAGAGACACAGACATTTCAATATCTGCAAAAATTATATAAAGAAATTCATTGTCCAGACGCGGTCGTATAGCATGAAAATCTAGTTTGCGAGAAATGAGTGACACTTTGTGTAACACTTTAGTGAAAACGGTATTATCTATATACAATACAACTGCTGTCAAAATAAAATAATAGCACCACTATGATATCAGATTTTAAACATGTAACAATATATCAAATTAGTACAAAAAATACATTTTTTTTTTTTCAAAAATCTAAAAACATAATCTGTTAAAATAATAACACTAGTCATCTTGCCCTGAAAGCCAAATTCTTACGTACGTACTGGTTTTAATATTTTGTTGCGTTACCCTACCCTCGGTTTAATCAAAGGGTATATTTTTATTAACATCATCCCAAAAATTATTGATAGCGTGTAAATTATTACATTAAATTATGACATTATTGTCCTGAAACTACTTTTTAACTTTTCTGCTGGTATGCTTTGGGTCATTATCTCGCAAATCAAAGGCATATTTTCAGAAGCATACGGCAGCATTACTACCTCAAGTATTTTGACGTATTTTGTTGCATCCATGATGGCATTTATATAGTGAATAGGCCTAACACCGTAGTAAGAAAAACATCTCAATGCCATGATACTGGCACCAGCGTTCTTTACTGTCTTTGTGGTAAATTTTTTACAATATTCCGGAATTGGTCGTCTTCTAACATAAGATTGAGTACACTTTCCACCAAATAAAACTATTTTACACTCGTCGGTCCACAGAGTATTACGCCACTTTTCAATTGGTCACTCTAACTGGTTTTTAGCAAACTGCACCCGTTTGGACAAATGCTTATTTATAAACTTTTCGGGGATTGTGAGTTTTTAGATTATGTTCTCTAAGTCTCCTGTTTATTGCCTTAACGGTTATTATTTAATGAGAGCCTATACTTCTAGTAACGAGGCTGTAAAGTTTTGGGGAAAAATATTGAAACATTGCAACAGAATTGAATAATGAATACCTATATGCTATTATTTAAATGAGTTATTAAAATAAAGCACACTGTGTCCAGTTTGATCCAATTTAAAAGAAAGGACAGCTTATATCTTCTTTTTCACAATTAAACCTCAAGTACAATCGCTTGGATTCTTATACCGCATTGAATATTTTATTATAATAGTATTTAATGAATATCACAGCAACGCGTGGTCCGATCTTACTAGTATGTATGTACATACATATATTATATATGTTTACACTTGTATTTTCTCTAAACGCATTTGATATGTAAGAAGTAAAGTTAATCTTATTTTATACCCAACGTAAAATAGAACTGCCAGCAGCAGAACAAAAATATAATTAGTGTGCGGTGATCCTCATAATTGAATATTTGCATGAGAAGTTTAAGTTTGTTCAATTTTTTAGTCTAATTCGTTTTGCTTTCTCTTTAGGCTCCAATTGCATAATTATATTGTATTATAAATGATTTTTGGAAAAAGCGCAGTTGGATGTCCTATGGGAACTTGTGAGGTGGGAGATCAGTTCCGAAAAGTTAATGTCTTGTTCGCTTTAATAAGTGCAGGACTGATCAAGGAAGCTGACGGAAGAAACATTGCAGGTGGGTAAAATTTTCATATTACAACTTGTTATATAAGTTAAAGTTAATGATATTACAAATTAATTGTTTGCACGACTTCTTCCGTTCGCCGTCTAATTTATTCTATTGGGTAGAAATGTTCACAAATTTTGATTTTGATTTGTTTGCAACTTTGGCGGCTTGTTTAGCATGATTGAGCATAATTTACATGGTTTTACAATTTAAATATCTTAACAATATAATAATTCATTTTAAATCTATGTGTAATTCGAATGGCTTAGTACAAAGCAATTTATTACAATTTCTATGGTTTATATGTGTAAATTTTTGAATGTAATGAAAAATAATTTATAATTTGTGTCAATGACATTTTAGATTGCTTTACAGTTTGAATACTTAACATACAATAATACATTTTGGTATTTGTTTCTTTTATATGTAACTCGAATAGCTTAGGATAAAGAGTTATCTTAATCTATTACAGATTTTATTTATTGTTGTTGTTGTAAATATTCGAAATTGATGAAAAGGAAAAAAATGTATTAATTGTTCTTGTGACTTTATTTGCATGTGTGTTAATTTATGTAACTGTTAGACATATAAGGAAAATTGAAATACTCATCTGAGATTACTTTTATGGACTTTTTTCCGTCTATTAAAACCGTAGTACCTAAATCTCCTTCGATCGTTTTTTCAACAAAAATTCTACTAAATTTATTTCCCAATCTTTTGTTTCTTTTCAAGAAAACCTTTTCTCCAGGCTCATAAGTTTTCATTCCTTTATTTTGATTATACCGCTCTAGGGTAGGGTCAGAAAAATATTATGTGACAATAGGCATTCTTAGGAATAAAATAACAGGTACCGCCAATTTGACACTCTCCTCCTTTAACACTGTGCTAAATTTCAAAGCAATAATTGCTAGACTCGACCAAACATACGCAGATAAACGTCCAATTATGTCTTAGAAAATGAGATGATATACTAAGGCAGGGTGACCTTTTCATCACGGATTATTACGATACGGTCGATAAACATTTAACACTCATAATTAATAAACAAATTATGACTTATAGAGAAAATAACGAGATAATTAAAGCTCTTAACGAACGAGAAATAGAAAATGCATTTCGCATTTTTATCTCTGGTCTCCGTCACCCTCTCTGTAATATCCTTTTTCATCAGCACCAAAAGACCTTCCTACAGCGTTAGTGTCGCACAAGAGTTGGAAACAAATAACAAGGTATAATTTTCGCACATACATTTGCCATGGGAAACTCAATAAACCCATCTAGAACTACGCCAATTATGCCATATCGCAAGCAGTTAGCTGCAACACTTCGATTCATCGCCATCCCTACCCTTTAAACAGGACCCAACCAAATGCATAGTCACAAAGTTAATCAGCCTATGCTAACAACCAACAACAGCAGAAGATAGCTTTCAACGTCTTCGCGAACTATCTGGATCCTTCCAGAGACCTCAGTTTAAACACAACGAGTTAATCATATGCCCGAAGCGATGGCTACAGTGTATGACGGTCCAGTTACGAGGGCATAGCGATCATTTTAACCTTTCGTACGCTAATAATGGCACCATGATGAGCTCGAATATGACCGTGTATTTGGAACGACGAGATCAATTTTTAGATTGAATTTGCTCCTACATTCATAACAAAACCACAACAAATGGTCAGGAGCTGCGAATTCTAATGATACGGAACTTCAAAAATTACATTAAAGACTTCCTTTCTACAGGGAATTCGGCTAATGGAAAACCGTTTATTTTAAAATCAATTAACGGAATTAACACCATTAAATAAAGTGTTTAATCAATATTCTGAAGTCAGAATCGACAAAGAATCAGGATATCTATATCATGAAAGGTAAATGCAACTTCAGCATCTGTATTGTAATCAAGTTAATTTCATAACAATTGCAGAAGA